TTTAGTCCACTTTAGTACCCTAAATGAGTAGGCTAAAGCAGGTATTGCCCAGGTATTCAATGCCCGTATCAAATTTCTTCCACTTAAATGTGATTTAAGTACTAATTTAACACGGTATTTAAATTCTTCCTCAAAGTTTTTCTTTGAATTAGCATTGAATTTCAGAAGTTGGTGTACTCCAAGGTACTTGTAAGAATCAGATTCTCTCAATTGATTCATTATTACATTTTCCGATATCTCAATATTACTCCCCTTAATAACTGTTCCTCTTTTCACGTGTACTATTGCACATTTATCTATTCCTAGATCCATTTTTATATCATTACTGAACGTTCTTACTGTCTTCAGAAGAGCTTGCATTTCGTCTTCATTCCTAGCGTAAAGCTTGAGGTCATCCATATAGAATGAATGAGAAAGCTTCATTTCAGAGTTAAGTAGGTACCCTTTATCTGTATCAGCCAATAATTTGCTAAGTGGATTAAGCGCCAAACAAAACCATAGAGGACTAAGGGAGTTCCCTTGAAAAATACCTCTCTTTATAGATATGTATTCATTGGAACTCATTCCATTCAAAGTTGGTGTGCTGAGTGAGACCCTCCAAATTTTCATCAGTCGTTCTAATAGATCTATTATTGCCTGGTTTACTTTATAGATTTTCAACACTTCCAGAAGCCAATCATGGGGAACCGAATCGAAGGCTTTACGGTAGTCGATCCAAGACAATGTAATATTACGAGATTTTTTTGTAACTTGAGCAGCAATAAAAGAATCGATAATCAGAAGTTCTTTGCAACCTTTTGAACCTGCCTTAATACCTAACTGTTCCGCTGCTATAATACCCTTTTCCTCAATGTAATCTGTCAACTTATTCCTGATTACAGCAGTCAGTAATTTGTACACACCATTAAGACAAGTTATGGGTCTCAAATCCTGTGGCTCCAGCCTGTTTTTGCTTCCTTTCTTTATTAAGTGAGTCGTACCGGTACAGAACTTCGCTGGTAAGTCAATCTCTTCAGACAATAGTTTCTGATACCACACAGCTAGGTGGCTATGAACACTGCTAAAGGACTTTAGCCAGTAATTTTGTATTTTATCTGGACCAGAAGCTTTCCAGTTTTTCATTTGCTTGAGTGCCTTAGTCACATCTTCCACAGTGATACTGGTTGCTTCCATAGGTTGGAGATCTGATAAGCCATGGCGAATATTTTCCAACCAATTTGCTTCATTGTTAAAACATTTTTTACTTTCCCAAATACCTTTCCAATACTCTGATATTTCAATAGGATCTGGATAGACATCGTTATTATTTTCCTTTTTAGGTTTTAAAGATTTATAAAAATATTGTTCTCTTTTATTAAATATTGAATTTTGTCTCCTTCGATCATGAGCTTCTGTATACCTCCTAATTCTATTTGCTAACACTGCTAATTTCTGCTTGAGCGTTTCCATATAAACACCAACTTTTTTATTTAACTCACTTCTTACTACTCCTCCAATATTTAATACAATAATTTCATTAATTTTTTTCTTTAGTTTTAAAGAAGCATTTTCTGGGTTCCGAAGATAATTAGTAATAATTCCGATTTTACACCGTATATTTTCGATCTTTTTTTTAATTCTTCTCTTCCAGGGAGGATCTTTGCAATCATTAGTTTTATTACAATTCACCTTATCTTTTATCAAACCTAGCTCCATCGAGACAGTTCGGGCCCCTACGTATATCCAATGACATATCTCTTCTAGAGTTATACCCTTCGACATATGCTCAGCAAGTATCTCGTTGACGGTATTGACAGCGGATAAAGTTCTTTTGGAATATGGTACCTTTGGTATAGAGGGTCTACTGTCCAAAGGTATTCCTTCATACGTTATGTGTTCTCTTAATAGTATATTACGCATCTCTATGATGTGTGGCGCTTCTTGGGTGTTCACAGAAGTCGTTTCCAATTGCATAATCGCCGAGAATTCTGCCTCTTCTACTTGTTGTATTTCTATCTGTGAGTTTCGGGCAAGTATATTACCTGCTTCTGTTCTGATTGCATTAATTTCCGATTCGGATAAAAACTGGCGTTCTAATATATGCTTGACCTGGTCAGCGAGTCTTTGAGATGATACAGCTATTTGCGGATATTTTTCATTCCAGTGACGATTGATTCTTTTGCGATATCCTGTTTTTTCTTTCTCTAAGTTTGTAGCCAATAAGTAAGCTCGGATAGCAGCAATATTCATATTGCGGTCCCACTTCATCCTTCGTTGCCTACCTATTTGGCCAATGATTCCTCTTCCTCGCGCGGGAGACTCAACGGTATACAAGCACGGTTCAGAGTTTAATGATGAAAGTCCTATGGCAGCCGGTCTTACGGGAACATACGACGCCGAGGCACCGCTCGCACCACCTGCAGATGTCGAAGGCTGATTATCCAATCCCTCCGAAGCAGCCCTTACTTCGGATTCGTCCGAGGCTATTTATTTCCTAGTTCGCACCATTTTGATGGGTAGATGCATTTTATACCTGCTGCCAGGTCATCCTAGGGGAGGTAGCCCTAGGGTGTGTACTGTCTGTGTCCTTAGTGTCAGTGTAAATGATTTAGTGGACGGTTGTGTGTGTATCTGTAGGTGGTGTACTGTACTCAAGAAACCGGGGGATCGTAAAACCCCTGCACTGCACTGCAATCAGTTGCCCCTTGCGGGATTATTATTATTATTATTATATTTCTTAGCACTTGGGAGTAGCACAAATGTTCATTCGCTATTCTGGGAGGGCGTCTGGATGGTCTAGAAGTCTAAGTGTCTCTTCCTGTTCAGGTGCTGTTTTCATCCTTAATTTTAAGATTTTATATGTTTCACATCCCTTGTATTTGGCCGGGTGTCCTTGGTGTCCTATACAACAATTCGACATGGAATCCCTTAGCCGTCAATTCTTCTTTCATACTATCTAGTGGTGTTTAGGGATGAAGTAGTCTGATTACGTCCTTGAGCGCTCGGTCCTGGCGTAATTGAAATGTGTGAAAATCGGCATTGGTGTCTGAAAGATATTTCACAATTTTTCTGTAGGTTTCTGGGGTGTCAGGCAATAATTTTGAGTCATTGGTGCGGCTTAGACATGTGTAATTTTCTGTACCAACGATTTTATTTAATTGTTCAGGAGCTGAATTTCTTCTATATTTCTAATAAATATTGGTTGAGGCTTGACTTCTCTGGGAATAACTGCTGCTTCCATCTTTTCTGAGTTAGTGTTCGATAACACTTGATAACGATTTGGGGTAAAGATTGGCGGTTAGTCGGTTTGTGTTGATGTCCCCGGTTGACTTACCATATCTACATTAGGTGGTGATTTTTCAGCTGTGGTTGGTGGTGAGCTTGCTTTGAGCGTTTGGTTTTCTGCTTTACTGGAGAACATTTTGTGGTTTCAAGACTTGTTGATCTTTGCTTTAGCTTTACTCGACTATATAATATGAAATATCGCATTTCGTATTATATTAATGTTAGAAAAAAAATTACTGTGGGAAAAAAATGTTTACACAAGTATGTAATTGTTTACGCAAATTTTTAAGAGACAGAGTAGTACAGTACCACCGCGGGCGGAGGCATTCTAGCCACTGAAGGGATTATGGCTGTCCCTTGACTATCTCTATCCTTAGTCTGTTTACAATATTCATTGTAACGGTGATAAATAAGTGATCACTCACCTTATTTAGTTCCCTCTTCGAGGTTAACTTGAAATAAAACTGTTCAACTGTTTTTTCACTAAAAAACTGTAATGTTACACTATTTAAAAAGTCACTTTGTAGAGAGCGAAATGACAACGTTTAGGTAATGGCTGGCGCATGAGCAGAACTCGACTTAAAATTAATATTTAAAACCAATTTATTATTAGATAACCTTCTTCGAGTTAAACAAAATATTATTTTGCGAACTAATTTTGTTTTCGTATTTTATTTTTCGTCCCAATCTTCTTAAAATGGTTTATAAAATATCAACCCTGTTCTTTAATGAGAATCTCATCAAATTCTATCCCATCGTTAAGAACATTGGAATAATCTTAAATCAAATCCTTTCCTGGAAAAAACGTGTATCCGATATTTCCCGCCGTGCCTTTTTCATTTAAAAACGACTAAATTACCTCCACCAATTATTTCCATTTCAAACCCGTAAACTCCTGATTACTTCCTTAATACTTCCCTGCTTCGATTATTGCTACGGGCGTCTCCCTGGGATATCGAAGCGAAACTAAAACGTTTGATAAATTGCTTTGTAATATTTATCTTCGTTATCCAAAGATACGCCCCTGTTTCTCATTTTTATGGAGGGCTGTAAGTACGGCTTAAGTCTTTCTTAGCATCCTGTCTCTTCCAAGTCATCCAGTACCGCCGTACTTCATACATCCCGGAGCTCCTACAATTCAAATCCTCTGTCCACTCCTGCAAAACTCGTTCCCTTCCTTCAGATTTGTATACAAGAGCCCACCGAACCACTGCTTTCGACAAATCTTTCATTATTCTATTCACATTCTTACGGAATTCTACCTTCCTACATCCATCGCTCCAATGACCTCCCCACCTTTAAATCCACCTTTTAAATCACCTTTTGTAAATCCGGTCCTCATAAAATTGTTAATAGTGTTGTAAATATGTATATAAATAATTTAATCGTTTTAAGTACTTTTATTTCATATTTTTTTCATAATTGATTTTAGAAGGTAAATAATACTATTTTCTTATTTTTATTCATTATATCAATCTCTTGATTTTGTGATTATTCTCTGAGGTTACAAAGCCCACATCACCATATCTATACATTATTCTAAAGTGAGTTGTCCCAGAATCAATAAAGCATTATTATTATTATTGACAATAAAATATATGGGAGAGATATATCACAGCAGTTAAAAAAAAAACTTCACATGTAGGAACTGTCAAATATGAAACAATTTCCTAATCTTTGTTTCATTACGGTATCAACTCAGTCATAATTTTATAAAAATTGAATACTTGTTTCAGATAGCTTAAGCTCTGTCACACCACGTATTGTGCCTTCACCAGCAGCTGTACATGCTAAAAAAGAAGGAACTGTAGTTTTACCATGTTTTTCTCTAGGAAATCCACCACCTACCTATATGTAAGTAATTTCATGTATATTTCTTGAATATATATATATATTGTATTCGTTCAGTTTTAAAAATTCGAAGAAATTTTCATATTATTGTTTTATTTACCTATCGATTTTTAAATTTACATTCAATATATTACAGGCCAGACTTGATAACGGATATAGGGGTGGTTGAGTGTAGGCCTCTCAAGACCACTCGGTATGCCTTTTCTTGTCTCAACTGATAACAGTGAAAATCGTAGTTTTTAGATGTGAAGTAGTCAATTAGTGTTTTATAATTAACTCTTGAATTTCTGTTAATTTTAATGTCGTTTACTCTGGAAAAACAGCGAAAATTGGTCTGTCTTATCAGGTTTGCAATTTCTTGACCAAATGATATGAAATTCTCAATTTTGGAATAAAAATAGGTGGCGGCTCGGGGTCAGTAGGAGCTTGAGGCTCCGAAGGCTTGATTGGTGAGTTACTAACAGGAACAGCATTATTGCTGGCTGAAGTAGTTGGTACAGTAGGCGCTGGTTTTGTGGTATTTGTTTTGCTTCTAGTTTTGGGTGGTGATTTATTTTGCTCGGCTGTTTGTTTGGATTTATTTTGTTTGGCTGACAATTTAGATTTTGTCGATTTATTTTTTTTTCTTGTTGGGTGAATTGCCGAACAAGGTCGTCAGCATGCATAAGTACTTTGATTCCTGGTATAGACTCAAGAGTCTGTATGAGGTCATCTATCATTACGCAGAATAGAGTTGGGCTAAGGACTGAGCCTTGCGGGAGGCCCTATTTTGTCTGCCTGTATTTGGATGTTCCTTGTCTATAGCTGACACGGGTAAATCTTTGGCCTAAGAAAGATGCAATATATTTAAACAAATTGCCTTGTACCCCTTTTTTAAACACCTTTTCGAAAAGTTTCTTCCTCCAAACTCTACCAAATGCAGTTTTGAAGTCTACAAATACTGCGAGTGAACTTTGCTTGCGGTGATATTCATCTTTATAATTGATAAACGATACATTTTTATAGTTATTACATATTATTATATATTATAATTATATTTAAAAATAAAAAAATCATTAAAATAAACATTATATGTAGTATAATATAGACAGTAGTTATAAATAGGCATCTAAAATTTAGCGTTTCAAAATGTCCTAATCATTTTTGAAGTAAATTTATTATCTGGTTTAAACAAAGAAACCGGATGTTTTTCGAGGAAATTTTCTAATTTTGATGTAAAATTTGTGTTCCTTGGCTTTGAAAATATAAGGGTCCTAAATATAACGTTAATCCAACATAAGTTCTAGGTCCATGTCCACGAAAACCCGTCTTTCGTCCCAGCGTGGCCGAGGTGAAAAGGCAGGTATGGAAGACCAGCGCAACAAAGATGCACGCTGAAAACTCCAGCCGGCTGGTTAAGAAGGCTAAGCATATTAGGATTTTGAGAAACAAATTTTAATTTGCTCACTCCTTATATTTTTCGGGTCACAGAACATGAATTTGAAGTTTGCTAGCTAAAAGTTTGCCCGGAACTTTATTTATTGGCCACTTTTTGACCAAATGTTGGCACTGTTTTTTTTTCAGTTTTCGGCCTATGTCTCTCAAAAAGGAAGCGTTTTTTCGACAAACCCATTCTATACAGAATTAAATTAGAGAAAATTTGCCCAAATTTTGTATATACAAAACGGTTTTTTGTAAGACTAATCGTTTCGCCGCTAGAGCTCGCCCAAAAGGGGTCATATTTCCATATGGTCTCAAAATTAGGGAAAACGAGAAATTGATCCCAATAATTCAGCGAAAGATAAACGAAGTGCCGAAATCTCGGAAAAGAAAACAAGGATCAGTATCAATTATACGGCAAAACGAATATGTAGCAGGCAGATGAACAGAATATTTCAAAATGCTGATAAAAGGGTTTCAAATGTTGGAACAGTTTGGATGATATTAAGGGGACCATTTTATCAGATAGAAAGAATATGAAAGGAAAACGAGCATTTCTGAAAGACAAGTAGATATTAGCACAGTCCAAAGTATGAGGCACTAAGCAGATAGAGAGCTATTTTTCTTTCTTAATGGACTTCTCTCAGTTCTGCGCATGCGCTTGATTTGAATACCCACATTTCACGTCGTGTCCCACAGTTTTACTATTTTTTAGTAGAATAAGTGCTCAGTTTTACTTTTTTTAAAAAAAACTAGTTAAGCAGACATCAAAACAACAACAATGGACTAACACCACAGTGAGTAGTGTTGTTATTTACTGTGTACTATTACAGACAGTGAATTTAGTGATTTAGCGTCTATAGGCTTAATCTCTATAGCCATAACAGCTGACGGCTCCCCTCTCCAGTTGTGGCCCTGCCACGTAACTGGCTGGTTCTCAGCCGGCGGTTCATCCATTGTAATAACACGCAGACGTAGTTTTATTTATTTATTTTTTTTCCCTTTCTTTTTTTTTTTTATATGCGATATTACCACCAAGTAATGTCAACTAAGAGGTCCCATTCAGTTGGCTCTACCCCACGTAATTCACCGCCTAAACAGAAAACACGTCGTAGTAAGCGATTAACACCCCCCGGAACTCCTCCAGCGAACACTCAAGTATCTGTGTCTCAACCACTGCCAAGTACGTCTTCACAAGAAATGGAATCTCCATTTTTTACACCTAATCCATACCAGGTGCTTGAAAATGACAGGGAAGAAATGGAAGATGCACCTATACCTCGAGAACCACGCCCACCTCCTATCTTTGTCAAAAATTTGAGAAATTTCCAGTTGTTGTGTACTCAACTTAATAAAATCTGCCCAGGTAGCTATACATGCCTAAACAGAATAAATGATACAAAAATAATACCGGCCACACCTGAAGCGTACCGAAAAATCGTAAAATATTTAACAGACACAAATGCGGACTTTCACACATACCAGTTGAAACAGGAAAGAGCACTACGAGTTGTAATAAGAAATTTACACTCCTCAACCCCAATAGAAGTGATTAAAGAAGAGTTAACGGCGTTAGGGTTCAAAATACGTCAGATAACCAATGTTTTAAAAGAAAATAAAGAACAACCAGGTGTAAAGAATAAAATCCCATTGCCCTTATTTTTCGTCGATCTAGAGCCATCGCCTGGGATCGAAAAAATATACGATGTGAATAGAATTTTCTACACCAGCGTAAAGGTCGAAAAACCGTACCCAAAAAGAGAGTTCATCCAGTGCCATAATTGCCAAGCATATGGCCACACCAAGTCTTATTGCCACCACTTACCACGCTGCGTGAAATGTGGTAAAACACACAAGTCTGGCGAGTGTAATAAACCAATTACAGAACCAGCAGTCTGTGCCCTATGCCTGGAAGGCCATCCAGCCAACTACAAAGGCTGCCAAATTTATAAAAATCTTAAAGCGAGATATATGAAACCCAGGGACCCTGATGATACACCTAAACCAAGAAGAGGACCCGCTAAAATTGTGAACTCTAAGGTTTCTTTTGCCAAGCTACTTGGGGGTAGAGACCCGACTAATGTATGTGAGGCCCTGCCGCAAGAACAAACTCAACCCCAATCTCAATATCCTATCCCACCTAATGTACCTAATCAACAACAACCTCACCAACATCAAATCCAATATGTTCCTCCACCGCCTAATGCTACAGATCTAACCAGCTTATTGACATCCTTTCTTTCAGAATTTAAATCCCTTGTTACCCCACTGATATCACTTCTCACTAACCTAGTATCTCACCTTATCCCTCCTTTAAAAAATCCTTAAATGACTTCCATCAAACCCATATCCATTCTCCTTTGGAATGCGAATGGTGTTAGAAATCACATACACGAACTAACAGCCTTACTACAAGACAAGAACGTAGACGTAGCCCTAATAACGGAAACTCGACTGACTAAAAAACAGCTCCTAAAAATACCACAATACATAACTTACCGTACCGACCATCCTGACGGTAGAGCACATGCCGGTACTGCAGTCATTGTGCACCAATCCCTCTCCCATCACCTACTCCCACTGCCTACACACGATTTCCTACAATCCACCGCAGTCGTAATCAAAACCTTCTCCTTTCCTATTACCGTTGCATCAGCGTATTGCCCTCCAAACCAATCCATCTCCAATATCCAATTTAGTTCCTTCCTCATTTCCTTAGGACATCATTTCATCTTGGGTGCAGACTTAAACGCCAAGCATCAACAATGGGGTTCAAGAACCACGAATTCTCGTGGTCGAACATTGCTGTCTGTACTCAATTCCCAAAATTTTACCCTTCTTCCACCCAACTCACCTACCTACTGGCCCACTGATCCTAACCGTAATCCCGATATCCTCGATTTCTTTATCCATAATGGTTTAGGTGCTCTCAACCATTCCGTTGCCCGTCTTGACGAGCTTTCCTCAGACCACAGCCCATTAATACTCCAAGTATCACTAGCTCCTATTCCTAAACCCTCTCCTCCGTCCTTCATCAGAGGCCCAGTTAACTGGAAACTCTTTCATCAAATCCTCTCCGATAAAATTGACCTCAGAGTAACCCTGAAAACCTCTGAAGACCTGGACAATGCAGTACATTCCTTCACTACCAAAATTCAAGAAGCAGTCTGGACTGCTTCCTCCCCTGATCACTCCTCAAAAATCCTTAAGAAACATAATTTACCTCAACACCTCCTTGACCTAATCCACATAAAACGCCGTGCCAGATTATTATGGCAACGTACCAGACATCCAGCCGACCGCCACTCCTACAATTATCACTGTAAAAAATTAAAAAAAGAATTAGCCACCTTCAGATCCCAATCATTCAATTCCTACCTCACCACACTCTCTGCTCATGATAATTCCCTTTGGAATATCACCAGAAAAATCCTCAAATCCCATCATATTTCCCACCCTCTTCGACGAGATGATGGCTCCTGGGCAGCATCTGATGAAGATAAAGCCGAGGAATTTGCCAAACACCTTTCCTATACTTTCGCTCCTCATCCAGAATCCCATCCCAGCCACACAGTAAAAGTAGA